CGGAGGACGGCCGTCTCGCTCACTCCCACCCGCCCTCCCACCGCATCAGCAGCACTCGAGTCTCGGCACGGGCAGGGGCCGCAGTCGACCATGAGGGAGCACATGAAGGCGCCAGCCGGGTGCGCGACGCCCGCGAGGTGCGCCGCGCGTGCCAGGGCATCAGATATCAATACGAAGTCATTGCTGGGCTCCCGCGCATCATCTTTGCAGGAAGGGTCTGCGCGCAGCAGGCAATATGCGGCACCTCCTTCGTCCTTGTCAAACAACAGTGCAATGTGGTCGCTTGGTGCCCGCGCATGATGGAGATTTGCCGCAACTTGCACTTGGGTGGTGGGGGGCGTTGGCATTGCACAGAGGCAAAATGCCGCCCCCTGCCATCCATGATTTAGATTTTGTTGCAAAGTGCACTCTGCAATATTTTTGTGCAAGGGTTGGTGGGGTGGGGGGTGCATGGTCCTGGGTCTGTCGCCGGTCGGGCGAAGGAGGAGGAACTATGAATACAGAGCAGTGACGCGCCTTTCCCCGAAAGGGAAGGGAGGGGGTTTTGGAAGAGGAAGCGCTCCAGACCACCTACGCCCTGAAGGGCTGATGGGATGAAGTGGGGCGCTCCAGTCCAGAGGAAGAGCCTTCGGCACGTCTCGCCCTCGGCGGAAGGCGGGGTGCGCAGAGGGGCGACGGGTCGGCTGGCGGCGGGAGGCCGAAGCTCGGCAGAAGCTTGAGAGTAAAGCTAAGTCGGGCCTGACCCTCTACCGGGGGGATCGTCAAAAATAGTCCAAACAAAAATAGTCGGGGGAACGATTTTTTGAGTAGTTGTTGAGTATGTTGGGGGTATTTTTTTGAGTATCTTTAATACTTCGCCGAAGCTCCGCCTGTAGTGGGACATGCCCGACCTAAGAGTAAAAGCGAGACGTCATCAGAGCGGCCACGCGTAAGAGTTCGATGATCCACTGACCCGGGTCAATGCAGACCCGGGGCAGTCAGGCCTTGCTCGAAGAAGACAAGAACACACATAAACATAAACTTTTGGCGCTCCGTGCGGATTTCTTGGATCCGCACCTGGGCCCCCAGCGGGGCCTCTGGCGCCGCCCCTTGCGCGCTCCGCGCGCCAGGGAGGGGGTCCAGCGCGAATCCAAGAAATCCGCGCGGAGCGCCAAAAGTTAATGTTTATGTGTTTGTTCTTCATTCTTTTTGCAGGATCTGCAGGGTTTTACAGGATCCTGCACCCAAAACTGGGTCAGTGCACCCCTTGGCTCTGCAGGATCCTGCAAGTTCCAGCGCTCTGGCTGACCCCGTTTGCATCGACCCCCGTCTCTCGAGCCCCGGAGAGTAGCTTCTCGCCAGAGAAACCCTTGGTTCTGGGCCCCCAGGGATGGCACCCGCACTGGCCCGCGCGCCTGGACTTGTGCCCTTCGCGGCCCCCTAATGCCGCGCGCCAAAGGTCACTCTTGCCTGGGGTCACTCATTGCGTGCAGCTGATCGGATAGAAAGTCACGGAAGCTTTCGCTAGTCCTGGACTGCATGCGTATCGACGCAAAGCGCCCACGAGCGTTCAACAGCGCCAAACGGCGCCCAATACCGCCCAGTAGCGCCGAGTAGCGCTCAATTCGCGCCCAACAGCGACCATTAGCGCCGAATGACGCCATCTGAGAGAGTTGCATTACGTCCGCTTCGCCAAGGATTGGGCGTCCCATAGGGCGCGTTGAGGACGACCAACAGCTTCCGAGAGTTGCTTTGTAAGCGTCAACGTCGTCGGGTTCAGGGTTTCTGGAATCGTCCATCCAGCAAGAGCTGTCTTTTTCAGATTGCGGATTGGAGCTGAGCTGCGAGGACCAGCGTGTATGTGCGTAGTTGGTGGGCCTTGCGTCTCTTCGATCAATGATGGAGTCATTGAGCGGATCAGGATTTAGCGTGCATTGGGCCGGGTGGACGGGCGAACGAATTCGGCATGTGTTACGAGGTTCTTTCGATTCGGATTGGCCTGGTCCGTGAGGTTGGGGCAGCACGGCGTTCTGCAAAGAGCCTTGGAGGGGGCCAGCCTTTCCAGGGTGGCTGTGTGCAAGCACGTTGGTGTTCCTCGATGTTGGTCTCCAGGGGACGGTTTTTTACCTTTTGCCCTTGAATAAAAAAAAACATATCCAGAGAGAAAAGCATGATGGACCCACGAACCGGGAAAGGTATATAGAAATGTAAGCCATGGTGGCAACATTTTCAAAGACACCTGATTGGGCGACGGGCAAACGCAATGCTGAGTGTATCGATCTTGATGTACTGTGCCGAGGGCTGTGCTGTGCTGTGCCGTGCTGAATATTGATGTGCCATGCCGCGATTGTGCTCTATGGCGTTGTGGATCGAGTCCTCCTTTGCATCCGAGTCTTGACCGAACTGATCTGGGTTTCAAGCTCGAGCTGCCTGAGCACATAGTAGCTGCCCCAGAGCTGATTGACAGGGGGACGTGCCAGGAGGGCGCGCCGCGGAACGTCACGAGCCATGGGGACGCACCGCGGGATGTGCCAAGGGGACGCGCTACGGAACGTGCCAATGGACGTCACGGGACGTGCCAGGGGGACGCGCCGCGCGACGTGCCAGGGGGACTCGCCACGGAACGTGCCAGCGAACGTGCCAGGTTGCAATGCTGAGTGTATCGACCTTGATGTACCGTGCCGAGGGCTGTGCTGTTCTGTGCTGAATTTTGATGTGCCATGCCGCGATTGTGCTCTACAGAGGTGTGGATCGAGTCCTCCTTTGCAGCCGAGTCCTGATCGAACTGATCTGGATCCCAAACGCGAGTTGCCTGAGCACATAGTAGCGGCCCTAGAGCTAATTGACAGGGGGACATGCCAGGAGGGCGCGCCGCGGAACGTCCCAAGGGACGCGCCAGGCAACGTGCCAGGGGACGTGCCATGGGGACGCACCGCGGGATGTACCAAGGGGACGCGCTACGGAACGTGCTGTGGACAAGCGTTTCGCTCGAGGCATCCTGCCCAAATCCTCATGCTAGACATCCGCCTGGGTGACCTGAACAAGTGAAAACACGCGTTTCGCTCAACACATCCTCAACGCATCCTCATGCTAGACATCCGCCTGGGCGAACTGGACACGTGAAAACAAGTGGTTCGCTCGAGACATCCTCAACACATCTTCATGTTAGACGTCCACCTGGGTGACCAGGGCACGTG